GGTATGGTGTGGCCTGGTTTCCTGGTTCAGGTTTCTGCTGTGTAGGCATTTCCCTTTGTTCCTGCCGGTGCATTCATTCCTCATCGCTGCCCACATCTGCTCTTGGGAGCCTGTGGAGAAGCAGCCAGAATATCTCGCTCAGAAGAAGTGGTGCTGCGGGCAGGCCCGGGGGTCTGAAGACGCCTGCGTTTAAGGCCGCCACACCGAAGGCAGGTCATTTGGACGGCACAGTATATTTGGAGAAGTTCCCAAACGGAAACAAAAAGCAGTTACCATCTTGGAGATTCTCCCTCGTGACCCCGTGTGGGCAGGGCAGCCGCGTGCTCCGTTGGCTTGTCAGGGGTGTGACCTTATGAAAGTTTAGATCACCAGGCCCTGCTTCAACCCTTAGGGGAGGTTCGAACCGCCATCGTTTTGTGTAGGAGTTAGCGTTTAACCATTGGTATCACTAGGGACAGCGTCGTTTCTAAGGAGATGGGATCTGGAGTTGAGAGTGTGAGTGAGTGACTGCTGCCCCAAGGAGGACCCCTGAGGGAAGCTCAGACACTCCCCTGCTGCCCTGCCACCCCTGAAACTCAGGACAATTGGGGGCCTCTCATCTTCTAACTGAAGGGGCAAGTGTGATGTTGGGAATAAACCAAAAACTCACTGTCGTCGAGTTGATTCTGACACACAGTGACCCCGTAGGGCAGGGTAGAACCGCCCCTGTGGGTTTGGAGACAGCCGCGCTCTACACATGTAGAAAGGCCCGTCTTTCTCCCTCCCTGAACTGCTGACCCTGCAGTTAGCAGCCCAACATAGAACCACTCCGCCACCAGGGGTCCTGATGTGAGGGACAGCGTGGAGCCATTGAGGGTCACACCTGGCGAACAGGTGTGGCGGGGAGGGAGCAGCGACCACGCCGAGCCGCGGTGTGCCGAGTACAGCGTGTGTGAATGCACCCACGAGGAGGCTTCAAAACCGCCCTGGGAAACACCACTTGTCTTTTCGTTCTACTTTGCCATGAGCAACAGAAGGCCCCTCGTCTATCTGAAGTTTTCCCACCATGGGTTGGGGGCGCGGGGGAGGGGGGGTACTTTTTTTTTTTGTGGGGGGGGTACTTTCTTCAGCATGATGTGTCGATTCCAGAAGGGTGTCCCTCAGGTCTTATAGAGCACGGCTGCACCTCGATGCCCCACGGTGACTGAAAGCATGGGACCTACTGGGTGCAGGTGGTCGTGGTGTTCCTTTTGAGGTCCTTGTTCACACCCCACGTACAGGGAGCATGAGGGGCCACTTTCCCTGTGGGACCCCCATAGACCAGGGTGACGGCCCCACACATGGAGGCATCCTCCTGTTCTCGGACAGTGGCTTCTTTTCGCTCTTCCCTCACCCAGCTGCTGCCCTGACTCCCAGTTCCCTCCGATTCCTGCTCCTCCAGCCCCGCCCTTGCATTGTCCTCGTTGGTGCTGAGCGTGCAGGAGGGGGCGTGGGACCTGAGGCTCCCCTGGGGCAGAGCAGAAAAACGGGTGCTCTGACGGGCTCCGGCTCCTGCTGCCAGCACAGTGTGATTGAGACTTGAAACTAGATGACAGCCGCTCCCAGATTGGACTGCCAATCCGTCCCTTCACCCCCAGGCCACACCTCAGAGCCCCTAACTCAGAACGTTCCGGGGGGGAGCCAGGCAGCCAGAGCTGCTCCCAGGGAAGCTATGTCACACTCGGGGGACACAGCGAGGGGTGGGAATTCTTATGAGCCCAGAGGGCTCAGCCTTGGGAAAGGCGAGCCACTGCATGGGAGTTCAGCCCCAGTGGGCACACCTCGCAGCAGGCTCTGCTAGAGAACAGGGTCTGCCTCTTCCCGTCCCTGACCGACCCTGGGCCTCAGCGTCCTCCTCTGTAAAACAGGGTGAGAGTTGTCACCTGGCTCACAGGGCCATCGTGGAGAATGGCAGTGTGGGCAGAGTGTGAATGCTGGCTGCTGTGACTGTCCATCCGTCTTGTAGGGGGTGACAGGCATTCCTAGGTGGCCTTGCAAGGTGGCTGAGGTGATTCCTGTGACATTAAGTCTTTCATTACCTCGTATAAACCTGGGAGCTGTCCAGGACAGAAATTTATTTCTCCCACATACTTAAGGGCTGGCAAGGAAGATTGAGGGCCTGAGAGAACCCCCTTGTTCCTGCCTGGCTCCAAGAGTGTGGGGGCCAGGAAGAGGGGGTGCTAGAGGGCTGCCAGCGGAGGGTCATGGGCCAGCAGCCCGCTGTTTCCAAGCCCGGGCCCTCGCTCCTAGTGGATTACATTTTCCTGGAGGAGAGATGACACTGTAGGCAACCGGTCACTGGGAAGCCCTGAGGGAGGGACAGTGACTCCTTCAGCCACCAAGCCCCCGAGTCATTGTCACCAGTGTGATTGTGGAGTGTCGTGCGGTGAACACCACAACAGCTCTTTCAGGGGGGAGAAGAGCATTTTCCTGGCTTCTACTCCGCAGGGATCTGAAGCTGGATGGAGGCAGACAGTCAGCAGGGGCCGTGAGCTTGAAAGAGGTCATCGGCCTGGAGGGCGTGGAGCTGGGCGCAGACGGGAAGGTAAGGGGGCCAGGTTCCCCACACAGGTGCACATGAGGCCCAAGGTGTGTGGGGGGAGCCTCACTCTGTCTTGGGCAGAGGGCTGATGGAAGAAGCTGGCCCCGAGTAAGGAGGTCAGGTCCCTGATTCTCCAGTGTCAACACAAGCCCCCTATGGGCCAGAGGATTCGTTTGAGCTCCCAGAGAACCTGCGATTCCTCTGTCAACCCTGTTTACACTGTGTGCGCGGTTGCTGGTTTGTTCAGTGCTGTCAGTTCCGCTCTGATGGACCCCGAGTCTGCACAACGGATCGAAACACGAGCCGGTCCTGGTCCTGGGTCTTCCTCCCAATTGTTCAGCCCGTTGTTGCAGCCCCTCTGTCAGTCCATCTCCCCGAGGGTCTTCCTCGTTCACGGCCCTTCTGCTTTACCAAGCATGGTGTCCTCCTCCAGGGACTGGTCTCTCTCCTGATCGTGTGGCCAAAGTCCGGGAGATGGAATCTCGCTAGGCTGGCTTCTAAGGGACATTCTGGCTGTACTTTCTAGACAGATTTGTGTGTTCTTCTGGGAATCCATGGTATTTTCAATATTCTTCGCCAACCCACCCGAACACACTGTTTCTTCTGTGTTCTTCCTTATTCAGTGTCCAGCCTTCACACGCATATGAGCCGATGGAAAACACCCTGGCTTCTGTCAGGCGCACCTTAGTCCACAAACTGACAACTTGGGTGTTTAATTCTTGCTGCATACGACTGCTTTAAAAGCGTCGAAGCCTGTGAAATACTTGTCAGTGTCTCACAAACACGTGCATGCTCTGTGCAGGCATGGTCGCTGGGGGTTGAACGTTCCTTCCGTGATGAGGTCAGCAAGCAGCGCCTGTACCAGGCAGCTGTCTAGTCCCACAGCCCGCGGCTCTGAGAACCTCAGATGCCCACAGCGTCGCTCTGTGACCCCTGGGCACCACGCCGTCAGCTGCCGCAGGTCCACATTGCAGGGGGCTGCTGAGGAGGGAAAGGTGGAAAACTGAATGTAACCACTTCGTGCTGGACCCCAGGTGGGCCTCACCCACCCTCCCAAAGCCTATTGAGGGAGACCAATGCACGTGTTTCCTTGGGGAAGCTGTCCCAGGGTCTTCTGCTTGGAGGTGTGGCTGCTGGGATTGAGACCTACTCCTTCAACCCTCTATTCCACCCCCACCCCCCCTTGCCAAGTCCCAGCTGGATCACAATGACATCAGCCCGAGGCTCCAGCTGTGGGCCTGTGGCGTGCTTTCTCCTCGCAGGTGACAAGAACCACGCTGTTCTCGCTTCGTTCAGAGGCGGACCCTTCCCACTGGAGGGAGGGGGTGGAGGAGGGGTGGACGTGGCCCACCGCATCTGCCGGAGAAGCCCGGCAGGCACCCACAGTTTCTTATCAGAGACTCCTCGGGCCAGATGTACTTTGGCATTCTCCCCTTGGTGGGCGACCAGAAGGCATATGGTGTGTGTTTCTCGTAAACCACACAACAGCATTAACCATTTCCAGGACAGTGCCTTGTTAGCAAGCCTGCTCTTTTTCTGCAGCAGAACAGGGCTGGTGGCAGGGAGGAGGGAGCCGTTAGAACCAGCCATGGCCCCAGCCAGATGAGGTTAGGCCTGGGCATGACTTAGGTGCCATGAACGCCAGAATAAAAACCCTTTTCAGGACTCGGAATGTCACCGCAGGTGTGAGACAGGCCCGAGGGCCTGGACACAGGTGGTGACACCACTTGGTCGGCATGCAGCCTGCGTTGCCCCAAGAGAAGCACTCACCTGTTTCTGTCTTCTCCTTTCAGACTGTTTCATATACCCAATTCCTCTTACCCACCAATGCCTTCGGGACCCGGAGAAACACCATTGACTCCACCTCCTCCTTCTCCCAGTTCCGGAAGCTGAGCCACCGCAGCCTCTCCATCGGCCGGGCTAGCAGCACCCAGGGGAGCCTCGACACAGGTAGGGCTGGCGCAGGCTGGGAGCCTGGCATTCTCAGAGCCCAGGCTCACCCTCCAGCGCTGTGGCTTTTGAGAGAGCCTGGACTCAGGCCATGACAGCTCACCATCAAGGCACGGGCTCCTCTCCCCTCCCTCTGGGCACCTCAGTGGCTGGACCCCCCCAAGGTCCCCCCAGGAGAAATGCCCAGGCTGTCCTGCAGAGGAGGCTGGATGTCCAGCTTCTCTGTCACTCTCCTACTCCTCCCCTGCATTTCTACTGGGCTCTCTAGCACATGGTTGGAGTGGGCAGCACAGGCTCACGTGAGGGTGACCAAGTGGGGTGAGTCAGGAGCACCTGGTTACAGCCAGCTTGGTCAAGACAAACCTTGGTAGAGCTTGGCAGCAGAGAGAGACTCCCTTAGGAAGCAGCCCGTGTGGGCAGGGCAGCCGCGTGCCCAGGTGCCGATGAAACTGTCCAAGGGGGTTCCCAGTGCTGAGAGGGAGTACCCAGTGCTGAGTTCTGAACTCGAGGTTTTAGGGCAGCCTCTGAGTTGTTGGCTGCTTGGATGTGTGTCCCCAGGACAGGGATGAGTCGCAGTGAACAGGTGCCTACCTAGAAGCAGTCATGCCACACCGGGCTTCTCAGAAGGCCCAGCTGGGTTTAAGGATTTGACCTGCAAGGGCACAAGACAGCCTTTCCCCAATTCCCCCTGTGACTCCCGGGGACAGCAGGCCTCGTCTGGGCTTTGTGAAGCCTTGGGGGGCTCTCCGAGCCTACAGAGATGAGTGTGTCATTTTCTACAATGGAAAGGAAAAAAGAGTCAGAATGTGAAGAATTTGGTAAAAACCCTTCCAAGGGGCTGTGTGCCTCAGGTTGGCAGGCAGAGCTGCCTGCTGACTCAGGTGGATGGGAACCAGAGGGCAAGACTCTGCCTTCAGCAGCATCTCTCTCTCTGTGTCCCCTTCTCCCTGCTGCTCCCAGTCCTCGTTCTGCGATTCCTGAGCCCCTAATGGTGACTTTTCTGTGACCTTCAGGCAGTGACCCGGGAGACTTCCTGGACTATGACCCCAATCTTCTGGATGACCCGCAGTGGCCTTGTGGCAAGCACAAGCGAGTTCTGATCTTCCCCTCGTACATGGTGAGTGGCCCTGGGTGGCGCAGGGGTTGGTGCTCCCAGCAGCCTCTCGAGATGAGCCAGCCCTGCTGCCTCACGGGCCTGTGTGCCTGGGGAGCAGCGCTCTGTCGTAAGGGGTTTCTCAAGGTGCTGCTAACCACAAGTTCGTCACTTTGAACCCACCAGTCACTGAGGGAGACGGACGAGGCTGGCTATGCCCTTAACGATGGGCAGTCTGTTCTACTCTGTCCTGTCGGGTCCCTCTGAGGCGGAATCCACTGGTGGCAATGGGTGTGAGTGGGCCGTGCCTGGGTTGAGGGAGCTCAGGCTGCGGTGACTGGGGGTGGGGGTGGGGGCCAAGGACTTAAGAGGCCTCACTATATGGGCTATTTGAGGAAGGGGCTGCACATGCTGTTCACAGGGGCCAGGGTGGTCCGATAAAAGAGCCACAGTTCAAGTGAGGGCCACTCACCTCACCTCACCTCATCCATAGACAGGTGCTGGGGGATCAGGCTGATCACTGAGGGTACTGAGTTCAAGTTCAGCTCTGCTTCAGGGCCACGGTCACCCGAAGCCTGTGTGGGCTCCCAGTGGGCATTTGGTGCCCAGACTGGATGACAGCATTCTCTCCTGGGAGACTGAAAGTAGGACACTGCGGGTGTTATGTGAAAACCTAGCCTTGCCGTTTTCATGATGTGGGCTCTGCCTGGGTTTCCAGTGATTAATTTGGGTTTCAGCTTTAGGCTTCCCACAGCCACTGGCTGCCACCAGCAGGGCCTGTGGGAGCCCCACGGGCTTTCTCAGGGCCATCCTGCCCAGGGCAGAGGCCAGCTCAGCCCTGACTGTGTGGGTGGAGGACAGAGCTGGGATTCTAGGGGAGGCCGAGCCACCAGGTCTGCTCCCTGCCCGCGATGCGCTCAGCTGGGCGAGCTTAGGCTCAGGGGCTCCCCACTCCCCACAGCTGCTTACACACCTGGCCAGGTGGGGCAGGCAGGGCTGGCCCTTCCCCTGGGGTTCCCCCTCCACAGCCTTGCTCTTCTCAGATGCCCCAGGAGGGAGATGGGGCGTGTCATTTTTCTGCCCCAGGCTCTTGTGTTATGGAAGCCAGGGTGGGAAATAGCCCTGTGTATTCTAAGGGCACCGAGTTCTGCCTGTCAGCCACGGGGTGCCCCCTCCAGCCTCAACTTGAGCTGGCATCTGGCAAGCAGCTAACCAAGAAGCCTCGGGAAGAGTAGCCAGCCCAGCTCCTCTCAGCATAGAGCCTCTTCTTGATACTTGGCCACTGGCTCAGAAGCCAGTCAAATACATTGTGTCAGGTCAGAATTGGTGCTAAAGCCATCTAGGGTAACATTTCGCCGGACTCCTCACCCTCCCATTCTTATCATCATTCTTATCCCATTCTTATCATTCCCCACCTCCGGGAGCACAGGAGAAAGGGAGAAAGATAGAGCTTTGTACTCCCGGGAAGACTGACAATTTGATGAGCTTTGAGTTTTAGTGCAGAAGCAGACCTGCGACCCAGTGAAGTCATGTTTTGCCTGCTCTGGGATCTGTTGGAGGAGACCTGGCGGCACTGCCTGATATGCGTTGGGTGACTAATCCCAAGGTTCCGGCCCGC